TATATATATATATAAATTTATCTTTTTTAGGTCATTTTGTCAGGTATTTGTTAAACAGTCACAACAACCACAATGTTGGCATTTTCAAGTTATCTTGTTAAAAAATGTCTATCAAGAATGTAAACGTTAACATGCGTGTGAACAGGTAAACTGCAAAATATTTTTGAAATGAAGATTATTGAAGTATGTTTTTCAAGAAAATACTATTTCAGTCTTTCTGCTTCAGAATTTGCACTATTCAGATTGTATAGCTATTATTCAATTTTTTGTGTTTTTGTTTGTTTTTTTCAAGTTTATATTTAAAATGAGTTAACATTTTACACAAAAGTCAACATTTTGACTTTTTCCTCAGAATTTTGAGTTTATATATATATATATATATATATATATATATATATATATCTCAATTCTGCCTTTTCCCCCAGAATTGCAAGAAAAAAAGTCTGAATTGTGAGATTAAAAAAATACTGTTTTTTATCCTGTGGCAGAAGCATGCTTCCATATTCAATGTGTTACTTGCCATTTCTTTGTAATTTAATATAAAGTTTACCAGCCATTTTTTTCCAGGGTAGTTTTAGAAAAATAGAAATGTAACCGTTTTATGAGCTTATGGGAGACATTTGTGAATTGAGGGAATATTCATACCGTTTCATTCATATATTCATATTATTGGTACACAAAACCATATTAAACTATTAAACACAAAAACGTGATTAAAAAAGTATGATCTTATATTAATTAAGAGACATTTGTGAACTGAGGGAATATTCATACTTTTAAAATTTTGTTGCGCAACAAATCCTTATCAGACTATACAAGACAAAAATGTGATTTAACAAGGATTCTTATTATAATTATTATTACAATTTTTGATGAAAAAAAATATTAAAAACAATAATGTAAATAAATAAATGCAGAAAAATAATATAAAAAATAAAATAAATGATTACCATTTAAAGGACCTAAGATATAGTTTCCTTCATGTAAGATATAAACTAAAATATGTTATATGTCAACTACCACAATACAGATATATTCATTACCCAAATGCAGAAAAAAATGTCTTCTCATAACAAAGGATGACAGGTTCTTAAAGAACACACAACATGGCATTGAAATATAAGCTGTAATATCAGTGCATTAAATATTAACATGAATCCCCTTCATTTCAAACAAGAAAAACCCATGTTGTATCATTAGCCATAAAACTGACACTAGCAATTGCAAAAGAACTAAGAAAACAAAACATATGCCCATCATCACACCTGAGATCCCGTCTGTAAGCGGTAAATGATTTGATGCAAAAGTTTGGCACACAAAGTCCTCACCTCAGGAGGTTCTGCAAGCCTTGCTTACTGGAGCTTCGTCTCATGATTGCACTTGACATTGTTCTTTCTTCTCCGAGTTTTTTTTTTTTTTTGGAATTCTTGGAAGTTTTGTATTCCGTGGAATCTGATTCACAAAGACTCCCTCACAGACACTGACGCTCTTTCCTCGGACGCTCAGCTTTTGAGGAGAGATCCACGCGGCACTCGATCTGGTTTCAGAGACTGGCTTTAGTCACACTCTGTCCCCTCCTCCTTTCCTCCCTCTGTTTTTACCCCTCGCTTTCCTGCATGTGGTTCTCATTGAGAGAGCTCAGACCATAACCTAACATGTAATAACCAACCCTCCTTTTCCCTCTTTTCCAGGGTCATGTGGCTGTCCCAGGGGAGAATGTAAGTTGATACCCCCCACCCCATGCTATGAATCCAGCCCCCCACAAGAACCCCATCCCAAACCCAGAACTCAGCCTTTCTTTGACTGTGTTTACTTTGGTAACAAAGCTCTCAGACATGCTTACAAACAAACTTCAGCAAGCATTTTGATACTTGCCATTGTTTGTCCCTTATTAATTATTCTTGATGATGACAATTACACTACTGTATTTTTAGGTCAGCAAGATTTTATTTTTTATTTTTAGAAAGAAATTAATATGTTTATTCAGCGAGGATGCATTAAATTGATCAAAATTGACAGTAAGACTTTTATAATGTTACAAATAAATTATATTTCAAATGAATGCTGTTCTTTAGAACTTTGTGTTCATCAAATCTGATGAAAAAAACAATCATGATTTCCATAAAAATATTAAGCGGTTTGTTTTCAGCATTGATAATAATCAGAAATGTTTCTTGAGCAGCAAATCAGCATATTAGAATGATTTCTGAAAGATCATGTGACACTGAAGACTGGAGTAATGATGCTGAAAATTCAGCTTTGATCACAGCAATAAATTACATTTTTAAATATATTCAAATAGAAAATAGCTATTTTAAATATTAATAATATTTCACAATATTTCTGTTTTTACTGTATTTTGATCAAATAAATGCAGCCTTAGTGAGCAGAAGAGACTTCTTTCAAAAATATTACAAAATCTTACCAACCCCAAATTTTGAAAGGCAGTGTACGTGTTTCTTCAAATTTGGGCACTTCATACATTTACATTATTTATGATTTACGCTTTTTATCCAAAGCAACTTACCATAGACAAACAAAAGAAATTTGTCACAGAGGTACGTCATGCCTTTAATGACTCTATGATTTTAATTTATAGATGTAATAGTTGTATCCTTGTTCCAGACTCAGACTTTCAAACAAAGATAAATATTTAGGGGAAATATTTAGCCTGTATATTTTTTTTAATGCCCACAGTTTAGGAAACATGTAATTACAGAGTTTTTTCAGTTATACAGAGATACTTTTTTAATGAGCGACTACATGGAATATTTGTTTTTATTTGTTAATGATCTACAAATTATGAGAAATGGTGATCAGTCACAGCACATAAATATTAAATTTCCCTAAAACATTCATTCACCATATTAAACTCTGTACTCTATAAACAAAATTGATACTTTAATTAAAGGTGAAGTGTGTAATTTTTCCATTGATTTGCTCAAAGCAGATTTCCATATCAACATGTTTACACCATCTCTGATCTCATTTTTCACCACACACAGGCACATTCACACACACAAACACACAGCTGTCTCAATCCACTGAAGCAACAGCTTGTTAACCCGGTTACTATGGTAAACTACACAGCATTGAGGCCTGTAGACTGTTTGGGTCTCTCTCCAGACAATACTGGCACTCAGCACTGCAGTCCACAGCTCTTTACTGAGCCTTGTTTAACAAGTCCGGCCCTCGCTTGAACACTGGCCCACACAGAGAAAGACATCAGGAGAAACTGAAGCCCTTCAGTTAAAATACAGCTGAAGTTTCTGTTTGAGTTTCTGTTACAGATTTAGTTGCCTTGTAGGATCTATCTATCTCTGTCTGTCTGTCTGTCTGTCTGTCTGTCTGTCTGTCTGTCTGTCTGTCTGTCTGTCTATCTCTGTCTGTCTGTCTGTCTGTCTGTCTGTCTGTCTGTCTGTCTGTCTATCTCTGTCTGTCTGTCTATCTCTCTATCTCTGTCTGTCTGTCTATCATCTCTCTCTCTGTCTGTCTGTCTGTTTGTCTATCTGTCTAACTATCTATTTTGCAAATTGTTTCACACATTCACACTGATTGATTGTGAGAGAATGCTCAAGAGTCTGATTTTTACCCTCAATATAGATTTATTTATTTATTTTATAATTAAAAGTGAATCATAATAATGGAAATGTTAACAATATTAGTGGTAGTGAATATATTTTATATCAATTAAAGGTACCAGTGTAGTTTCAGTATTATTTATATAATATTTTAGTATTGAAAAAATATTTTGGATTAGCTTATTTTTATATGTTTAGTTTTCATTTTAATTTCAGTTTAAGTTTTAATGTTTCATTTTTATTATGTGCTTTTGTCATTTTTATTATTATTTTTTTTAATATTAGTCTTTAATAATTTTTTAGTTTTAGTTTAAGTAATTTTTAAAATATGTTTAAAGTTAAGTTTTTTTTATCTAATTTTAAATGTTTAGATTTTTAATAGTCAGCTTTCGTCATTTTCATTACTGATTTTAATATTTGTATCTTTCATTTAGTTTTATTTCAGTTTTAGAAATGTAAGTATTTATTTTTTATTATTTTTAAGTTTGGTTTTTCATCTAATATTTATACATTGTTATTTCAGCGTTAATTCAGTTAGCAAATACTAGTTTAATTAATTTTCTTTTGTCTTTTTTAATTAGTTTTTTTATATTTCTTGTCTTTAATTTATTTTAAGTTTTAGTTTTAATATTTCAACTTTAACAAATCGAATTATTTATTTATTTATGTATTGTTTGTTTGTTTGTTTGTTTGTTATTTCATATTTATTTCAGTTAACAATTTAGTTCTAGATTTAGTTAACAATAACAACACTGAAAGGAACACATTTCTGGTTTGGTGCTGCATGAAGGAGTTTTTAACTGCTGGGGTCATGTCAGTATATATGACAAAAACGGTTTGGAAACTCTGCAGTCTAGACCATGACAGTTTCAGTTGGTGAATAATCTGATACTGAATGTGATTGTGAGTCAAAGTCACAGCACATAAAAAAGAACTCGCAATCAGCACTAACAGATCTCCATTAGTGCTCCAAACATGACATGCTTTCCAAAGAATGCCGTTCTTTCCACATTGTGAGATTAATATCTCTTCATTGGAAAGAAAGGATCACATAAAATCTAGATTGTTTCTCCTTGACAGTAATGAGATTAAAGGGAGAACAAATTGAAACTTAAACTGAGAAACATCTGAGACAAAGTAAAAATTTACTGTAACTAAAAACACCTGCTTTTTTTCTGTAGTTGTTGTTTTTGATGTAAGTATTAAATACCGTTTTGCATACATACTGTATGTAGTGACATCAACAGAAACCAACAGAGAGAATGATCGTAAAAAAAAAGTTATGACAGGTTCCAGGATGTCGGCCAAAATCTTGCCAAACATGTCAATACTGTCTCACACCAGCACAGCTGTGCTAATGACAGTTCAACTCACAGACTCACAAATATCAGAATCAGAATGAGTTTTTATTGCCAGGTATGTTTACACATACGAGGAATTTGTTTTCATGACAGAAGCTCCACAGTGTAACAGAATGACAGTGACAGAACAAACACACAGATAATAGTCATGTCAGATATGAGTCATGTCATGTGAAACATGAAATCACTCTTTGACGAAAGAAGCTCGCAGGCCAATAGTAAAGTTGTAGGGAAGAAATCATGTCATTTGCAGCCCTCAATTGAACCTGAGTTGGAAAGATACACGATGTACTACATTTGATGACAAACTTATTTTGCAAGCATGAAATTAGGAGTTGTAGTAGAGACGGCAACTACTTTTTATTATACCATAGTTAGTTCCAGTCCTCGAATTGTCTATCCATTTGTGATGAGGATTTTTCAGTGATTCTTTCTACAGGTTACGGCCTGGTGCCAGGTTATTATTATGCCAGGTGATGACAAGTGACTGTCTTATGAGTGAGACATCTGAAAATGTGACTGTATGAGTGAGCCACTGAATTATTCGTCCAATCAATTTGTTAAACACTGATACATTCAGGAATGAAACATTTTGCCTTATTTTGCAACTATTTTTGATCGCACAGCAACAATCGAAAAACCCAACTAGCAGTACTGCGTCTTAATATTAATTTCTTGTCTATAGAAATGTTCTATAACAACTTTTGGAATTGATACATGGAAATTTCAAAAATACAGAATATTAAAGGAATACGTCACCCAAAAATGAATATTTGCTGAAAATATACTCACTCTCAGGCCATACAAGATGTAGATGAACTTGTTTCTCTGGAACAGATTTGGAGAAATGTAGCTTTCCATCACTTGCTCACCAATGGATCCTCTGCAGTGAATGGGTGCCGTCAGAATGAGAGTCCAAACAGCTGATAAAAACATCACAATAATCCACATGGCTCCACATGACTCCAGTCTATCAATTAACATCTTGTGAAACAAAAAGCTGCATGTTTGTAAGAAATACAGTAAATCCATTATTAAGGCTTTTTAACTTTAAACTGTCCAAAATAAACCATAATCAATAAACCAACCAATAAACCATAATCCATAATAACGCTTCCTCCATTGTAAAAGTCCATCGTCTGTTGTCCTCTCACATCACAACCCACTGACATATTTGTTTAGAACTGTTTTGGACTGCTGTCACTTGTGAGCGGTGCTTGATCTGTGCAAACTTATCTCCTGAGTCAGACTTTTCCTTTGGAGAAAGCAATATTATGATAGTGGACATTCTTTAGTCGGAAACAATGTTTTGAAGTTAAAATGTATAAATTGTGAATTTGTTTCTTACAAACAAACAGCTTTTCACTTCAACAGATATTAATTGTTGGACTGGAGTGGAGTGGATTACTTGTGGGTTATTGTGATGTTTTTATCAGCTGTTTGGACTCAAGAAGATCCATTGGTGAGCAAGTGATGCAATGCTAATTTCTCCAAATTTGCAAACAAGTCTGTTCTCATGAAGAAACAAACTCATTTACATCCTAAATGGCCTGAGGGTGAGTACATTTTCAGCAAATTTAAAGGGGTCATAGGATGCTACATGCACTTTTACAAGTTGTTTGAACT